AACACCACCTCTTCCTTTAACCACCTGCCTCCACCGCTCTTCTCCTCCCATCCACGGCAACTTTTCCTTGCCAGTTTCATACCAGCCGATTCTTCTTTTGCAAATTTTAGAATCTTAGCAAGCCTAGCAAAATTACTAAACTCCGGCCAAAGCTCTAATCGCCACCACAACCAAAGCCCTAATCGCCGCCATTGTTGGAGAAGAGGATAAAAAGCAGAAAAAAACAAGGGGGTTGGATCCGGAGGCATCAGGTACCTTGCATAATGACGGGCTACTGTTGGGAAACGCCGGAGAAGACGCCAAAAAATGCAGAAAATAGTTTTTTCGTGGATTTCTTTTCTGAAAAGCTCTGTTTTGATGGGGGCAGATATGTTATTTGATTACCACGGGGTTGTTGATGGGTTTTGCATAAGAATACTAAGGTTGAACATTAGCTCCAAACCGAATCGAATTTCGTCGGAGAAAATGTTGGAGTGGTGGGGCGAAGCGGAGGCTGAGGATATGGAGGGAGGTGAGGTCGGAGAGATTGTTCGCCAGAAGGAAAGCGGCAATTAGATATGTTCAAGTGTATTTTTCAAAAATTGCAAATCAATCCCTGACGTAGGAAGAAGAGGGTCTTTATGAAACTTCAAGGGTCTGAATTGAAAATTTTGAAAACTTTATTTGGGACATATTTTTGAAATTTATGATTTAAAGGGTATATGGGTCTTTTCAAAAAAAATAAAATGAACTCTAGTCGCATATTTGGCGAGTATATCACACGACCAGCTCGTAGGGGTCTTAATGTCGTTGACTATGCAACACGGGGATTATGCTAATTATTTTGACATAGGGGTTTTTTTAGCCATTAGAAATTACACAGGGATGTCGGATGCTAAAACCTCGTGGCACCCAACCCAAACCCACCAACCTTTTTCATACAACTTCCGCCGGCACACCACCGCATCTACACCACCACTAAGATGCCAATACTCGGAAATCTCCATCATTTGGGTGTACGGATCTCAAGCATTGAATAAGAGAGATTGGGTAACGGGATCGGGGAGAATCAGAAAAATGAAACGGAAGGGGTTTAATAATTTATGTTTCTTTTCTCCATCGCGATTCAAGCAAGCTAAGGAGTCGGCGGTCCTTTGGTTTCTTCTCCTGGTTTTTGCTGGAAATAGTCACAATGAAGAAGTAGGGCTGGTAAGATGGTTTTTTTTTGGAAATATGAACGCCTGAATTGAAAATTTGAAAATTTCACTTTATATCTGAAACTTTTGGGGTAAATTTGTATTTTTAAAAATTTCTAATTAAAGAGTATTCAAGTCTTTTTTGACAACAAACGCACCCCACTCGCATGTATGGTGAGCGTAGAGTCTTTGCTAATTTTTTAACATAGACTTTTTTTTTTTTGACAATTCGAGATTACACAGGAGTGTGGTAAGTGTTGATACCCCAGTTTGTATGTAGTATGTAATGTGTACACGGTAATTAAGTTATTGATTACTTATGCGAAATAGAACTATACATTAATTTTCCTAAGGGCAAATTGCACTTCACCCCTTAAATATTGCCGTTTTTGCACTTTCCCCCCTAGAAATAGAAAAACGAGACTGTCCCCCTTAGAAATATATAAGTCGGTGCACTTTGCCCAAAGTCTCGATTTCCAGGCTAATTCTCGCCGGATTAAGGTTGGATTTTGCATGATTTTTCTTGCAAAACAAAACAGTAAATAATATCAGTTTAATAATTCAAACAACGAACTCAAGAGCACTAAGATGCACAATACAAATTAATTCAACCTAAATACCCCATATGAGCTCAATATTAATTAGTTCAAGGTAGAAGAGAAAAGATCGATGTAGCATAGTTATCCCCAATTCTACAAGATTTCAGTTCCCCCAATGTTCAGATCAAAAGACAAAATATCATAGGTATGGATAAAATTATGGAGAAAATTGTTACCTTTGCGGATCGATGGAAAACACCTGGTCGTTGCCCGCGGATTCAATTGATTTTGGGAGTAAAAGAAGAACCCTAGGATTTTTTTTGCTATACGATCTAGGAGAAAAAGAAGACCCCCAAACGGTAATACTTGTTGGAAAAAATGGTCAATGACATTTATAACATTTAAAAACTCCGTAAAAGACTTGTATACCCTTCCTAGTTACTAAAATCCGGCGAGAATTAGCCTGGAAATCGAGACTTGGGGCAAAGTGCACCGACTTATATATTTCTAAGGGGGACAGTCTCGTTTTTCTATTTCTAGGGGGGAAAGTGCAAAAACGGCAATTTTTAAGGGGGTGAAGTGCAATTTGCCCTTTTCCTAATGTCACTCAAATATAATGCCTTTTAATCTATGAAGATTTTATGAGAAAATATAACTATACATTAATTTTCCTAATGTCACTCAAATATAATGCCTTTTAATCTATGAAGATTTTATGAGAAGGTTTATGATCACCAACCTTTATAATTTAGATTCAAGAGTTTAGTCTCTTTCGTCAATAAGCCCATATTTACTTAATTTATTTTAACGACAATTTTCTTCAAACTTTAATCAAGTGAAGTTGTGTGATTCATCTAACTCAAAACAAATGAACCGTACGCGTGAGCTATAGAAATTGCTAGCATGTATAAAATAAATTAACTGTTTTAATTTTAATTTTAAAACAGAATAATAAATAACACCTAATAAAATATTTTTGAGTCTTGATCATTGCATTAGAGAATACTTTGCAGTAGAAAATCTCAATCTTGCCCAATAGGATGTTTAGAGTTTTTTTTTTTTTTGTAGTTTAGCCTTGGAGATGCTCTTAGTGTGTTTATTTCTATAGTATGACGGTGTTGACTTTTCTGGCCTGCGGGAAGTGAAAGAAAGTTTTATCCTATTATTATTTTGTCTTTTAACTCAATTTGATTCGATTTGGAACTCTTAATTTCTTGAGTTCTTGATTTTTTATTAATGGTGGGTTGTAAGGAAGAAAGAAAAAGTGGTGGAAAATAAGGAAGAAGAGAGAAAATAGAGAGCAAATTAGGGCTCATTGTGCATTTGGACCTGAAAAGACGAAAATGCCCATATATTTGGGCACGTGTAATTCATGCGCGCCGGATCCCAACAAGTTTGGCCGCAAAGTCAGTTATAGGTGGCAATGTACATAAAAAATGTGACCGTGTAAATTTATATTGTTAAGGTGGCAAAGTGTAAAATTGGCCTAAGTACAGGTGTCAAAATGCTATTTACTGTTATTCTTCTTCAACTGAATAATTTCGTCTAGTTTTAAGTTCATGGTCAAAAAGAGTTAAAAGACGATTCTAACCTTAATCCATAGCAGTATCTTATGGAATATACATAGTTCAATCCATAGTATCTCATTGATCCATAGCAGTATCATTGAAAAACAATCGATGTATTGATCTTCATGAAAATATAAAACCAAGATTATCAGATTCCACATTGTTCTCTTGTGTAAATTGTTCACTACCATTCACGTTAAAAAGTTAGACAAAATGCAATTCGCCCTCTAGACAGCCAGACAGATTACTCTAGTGAAATTTCTAGATTTCACAATCTCTCCCCTACAAATTCAAAATTGAAACTCTCCCTCTTCCAAATTTTATTGTAGTTGCACTTTGCACCAAATGGGACTTTCCGACGTATATTTCCGATGTGTTCCCTCCGCCGTCACTGCCGTGGAGTTTGGCGAACGGCCACATCTGGGCCTCCTCGAATGGCCCAGCGGATGAGGGGGTGATGCCACCGCCTGCAGCTGCGGTCACGAGGAGAATTGAGAATGTGCTACTAGAGACGCTGGTGGTGGCGGTGGTGGCATCATATTGGCTTGCCTTATTAGGCTTCCCAAAGATTAATCGGGGTGGGATTGGTGAAAGGACAAAAATACCCTTCAAGTTGACGGAGATATTAAAAAAAACAAGCACTACAACATTTATCGTCCGACGAATACAAAGCGTCAAGAAAAGTGGAAAAAAAAAACGTTAGGAAGACTATACACGACGGTTTCAAACCGTCAGGAAACCTTATACATTGAAAAAACATGAATTTTTTACAGAGTACTAAATGCCAAACTTTCATTTGTAGTTAAATTTACATAATTCTAAACATTACAATAAAAAAAAATATAAAATTAATTGTGTCAGCCTCTCTTTTCACATATATCCTCTCTTGCGACCATATGCCTTCTTCCAAACACATTGCTAAAAATATCCAACTTCGAACTTGATAGGATGCATTCGATCAATAAAAAAAACTTAATACTTCTCTGCCAAAAAAAAAAAAAAAAAAAAAAAAAAAGGTTCTTGTTCAATAAAGCTACACCAAAATCATTCATATATCAGCAAATTGACGAGATCTTATTCTCTATCAATGATTTTTTTAACCAGGCCATAACTTTATTTCTGACCGTCTCCAGTTTATCTCGGACATTAATACGTAGTAAGACCATCATTATTTTGATGGAAAACACAAACATAAAAAAGAACAAGAAAAAGTTAAACATAACATTTAGGGCAAATTACGAAAACCCCCCTCATGTTTGGGTAATTACAGTCACCCCTCAACTATGTATTATCTTACAAAAATACCCCTCCAGCGAAAATTTAGGGATGTTAAATCGATAAAACCGAACCGAAATTTTGGTACGGCAACATTCATACCGCTTACCGAACTGAATATACGATTTGGTTCGGTAAATAACCGAATTACATAAATTTGATGTAAAAAATATTTAAAAGGAGGGGTAGCTGTAATTACTAATTACCCAAACAAGAGGGGTTTTTTCGTAATTTGGCCATACCTCAGGGAGTGGCCGTAATTTGCCCTAACATTTATACAGTCTTCCTAGAATCAAGAAAGTAGCAACAGAGTCGACTTACTCCGCAAGATAAAAGCTTCTAAGTCGAACTGGATTTTTGTTGAGCTGAACTGCTGTCAAGAGTACAGACATGAAACTTACCACTCCCTTTACTTCCAAAGTCGCTTTCATTTCCATAGCTTCGTTTCCCTTATAGCCTGTTTACAAGTAGGAATGAAGAAAAAAATCACAAACTTTGTGCTAATTTAATATATATATATATATATATATATATATATATATATATATATATATATATATATATATATATATATATATATATATATATATATATATATATATATATATATATATATATATATATATATATATATATATATATATATTATCCCATTCCATTCTAAATGGCTTGCCTTGGCATTCTCCCCATGATCAAGACTAAGGATATTATTACAACTAAAACACGAGAATATAAACATAGTTACGTACGTTCATCAAATTATATAAAGCTCAACCCAAACTCTGCCATCCATACGAAGGTCGAAAATGTAATTACGCAATTTCACTACTCTCAGACGGAACAAATATGCTGCAAATAATATAAACAGGACACGATAGTTTCTAGGTGACGGAATTATCCTAAAAAGTTTGATAGTATACTTTATCTCATCCAGTTATTTTTTCTATTAATTAGTTCACAAACGATAAATCGGAGCAAAAAGAATATCACAATGAACTCTTGTAGAAAATCAAAACAACAGAAAGGAAGACTGAAACTAAATGTATGATAGGTTAACAGATACGATAATAAGCAGAATATTTAAATGATTTCTCGGTAATACGATTGAAAGACTCACAAAGTTTGTCTCCATTTCAATGCAAAGCGAGTACGTTCGTATTTCAATTTTTTATTGTTCGCCAATTCTGACACAGTTATCGGGCGCCATTCTTTTCGATTCTTGTCCTCGATTTCCAAACTGGCTTGCTCCAAATCCAACAACCACAGCTCATGTTTGAACTGATCTTGCTCTCCACTCTCTCTCTTCGTTAGAACATTCCACAAAAACTCGGTACCTTTCATCCCCCACCTCATGAAGCAAATGTTGCCGAAATTTTTCGGACGACAAATTCGAAACAACCCCTTTAAAAGTGTCGAAAAGCGACATAAATCACAATTCAAGAGCAAGCTCTCCACCGCAACAGGTTTATTGCAACCGTCGTCGAGTACCAGGTGGACGTTGTCGTGAATTATGAGTTGTTCACAGGCACCCCTGAAGTGATTGCAAAATTTATAATTAATATCCAGACAAATATTAAATCGGCTCAACGACTCGAGCAGTGTTCTTAGCTTGAGCAACCACGAAGCCGAACGATCGCCTTTCGGAAACACGTATAGATGTGTACTACACTCGGTGGAAGTCGTTGCGAAAGAGATGGATGGGATAACGGATCCTAAATATTCAAAATATACCAAGTTTGGTGCATCAATAGATATACGCGATTCTGCGAGTGTGTAACAATACCGCAGAGTCAAGCGTTTGAGGCTCGGAAATTCACACGAAGATAAGTTATCCAGTGAAGATTCAACACCCGACAAATGTAACTCACTGAGATTACGAAAATCCGAACCTTTGTGGAAAGGAATATTACTGTGACTAATTTGAATAGTTTCGAGAGATGAGGGGTATATTATTATTATCGTCTGAAGAGTGTCGGCCTTAACGTAGACGTGCTCGAGACGAAGTTTTTTCAGATTCTTCGAGAGCGCTATCCTTTCAATAGCCTCTTGCTCCAACATGAATCCCTGCACGTGCAAATCTTGGAGCGATTCCTCTCCGAATACTATTCGCGGCAGTTCAACAAGCACACACTTACGGTACTCCGAATGAATCGAAAGACGAAACTTCTTCACGCCCATAGTTGTGAGTAACGGGATCCATTTTTCAAGAAACGAAGCGGGTTCTTTGTTGTCTGAATAGCATATATGTATACAGAGGCTAAATTCCTCTAAGCCCATATTTTGATCACGGTATAGCTGTAAATTCTTGTCGACAGCGGATAGAAATTTCTGTTGAGGTGCAAACAATGTCCCACATCGGTTAAATATGGGAAAGATCTATGGTTTATATAGAGGGGGTAGTAACTCCATTGGTATGAGGCCTTTTGGGGAAACCCAAGAGCAAAACCAGTTGGGCCCGGCCCAGTCTGGACAATATCATACCAATGTGGAGTTCGTGCTATCCCGGCGGGGGCCCAACAGTGGTATCAGAGCCATGGCCCAGACCTAACCATGTGGTGGAAATTGCCGGAATCTGTGTGAAATTCTCGAATCCTCGGTGCCGAACAAAAATGGTGAGCTCCCGGTGCGCAAATGGCAGGCGGCTCGACGAGCTCCAGGTGGGAGGCTCGGTGTTCCTTTGTTCGAGGCTCGGTGCGCTCTGTAACAAAGATGGTGTGAGCCCCAGGCGCAAATTGAGGGGAGGCTCGGTGGTCCTTTGTGGTCCGACCTATGTGGTACTTTGTTCGAGGGGAGGATTGTTGAGGTGCAAACAATGTCCCACATCGGTTAAATATGGGAAAGATCTATGGTTTATATAGAGGGGGTAGTAACTCCATTGGTATGAGGCCTTTTGGGGAAACCCAAGAGCAAAACCAGTTGGGCCCGGCCCAATCTGGACAATATCATACCAATGTGGAGTTTGTGCTATCCCGGCGGGGGCCCAACAATTTCTTGGGGTTACCTTTGAAGAAGGTGTTGTCTGAAAAATCGAGATTGGGGCGAGTACGCCAATTGCAGCGCCATGATTTCGACAGGGGGATAACTATTTCAAATACTAACTTTTGCTTACTTGAATACCAAAAAAATAAAAAATAAACAATTAATTGTAAATTACTTTAATGCCCTTAATGAAAATTAAAACCAAAAAAATATTACAAATACTATTTTTCTTTCTTAAATACCAAATAATCAAAAACCTAAAAAAAACATTTCCCTCCTCACTCACAAACCCCTCACCTCCTTCTTCTCCCTCCCCAAAAACCCTCCTAAAAAACCTCAAAACAAAAGAAATCAAAACCTTACACAACTTGCAAAATGGCGTCAAATGACAATAGAATGGTAGTTTACGAGCAAGGAGAACCCATTCAAGTATGTATTCATGTATTTTTTGAGCTAAAACATCGATTTTGAATTTTTTTTTTTTTTAAACTCGCCATGTATTTTCGACACATACAGGTCGAAAATACCCTTATTTTTCGACATGTATGTGTCGAAAACATAACAATTCATATTTTATTAAGTTTCGACACCTAAGTGTCGAATTTTGATACAATTTTCGACACCTAAGTGTCGAAAATATAAAAAAAAAAAAAAAAAAAAAATTACACAGATCTAATTTGACAGCTAGCTGTCGAAAATTGGTTGAATATTCGACAGCTAGCTGTCGAAAACTCATCCAAATTTCGACAGCTAGCTATCGAATTATCAAAAATCCCATTTTAAGCTTTCACATTTTTCGACAACTATATGTCGATTTTGGATGAATTTTCGACATCAAGCTGTCGAAAATTCATCAAAAATCGACATATACAGGTCGAAAATTGTGAACGAAGAACCAACCCACGAATCTCAAATCAATGCTCAAATCGACTGAAATTAGATGCACCCATTACTAATTAACGATCATTTCTACCTAAAACAATCAAATCCTAATTACCCATATCAAACAATCAAATCCTAAGTAAATATTAAAGAAAAAAAATTCGAAAAAAATTATTACTTGGATGAATGAAACCGGAACGAAGAAGCGGCGGCGGGTTGATAACAATGGACGAAGAAGCGGCGGCGGCGTTCAGCGGCGGCGGCGGCGAGGGTTGGAGGTTTTTTTTTTACAACAAAAGAATTTTTTTCTTTTTTTTTTTATTTGGTTTTTGATTAGGTAATTTCTAATAAAATTTGATATAATTGATTTTTTGTATAAAAGGGTGTTTTTGTAATTTTCTTTTTATTTTGGTATTAAAGTAAGAAAAAACTGATAAATATGTACTCAATTTTGGTTTTAAACTTGGTAGTATTCAAGTAAGCAAAATTAGTATTTGAAATAGTTGCCCCCTTTCGACAGGATAGATGTTCGGACAGCATCTTTTTGGGGGAGGAAATACAGAATTCTCTGCAAGATGTCTATTGGCAACTCCGATATTCTGTCCATGGATTTGGAATCGTCTTCTGATTTTGCTCTCTTCATGATATTTTTCTCCGTCTGATTCATAAACCCTAATGAAATTGTCAGATTAATTTTTATTTTTATTTTGGGTGAAGGCGTCCGATTATAAACTTATTAATTATTATTTATTTTATAATTATATTTCTAAAAATCCATTGGACCATAACTGAACCCATAGTGGGAATCTTATTAATTAGGGTGTCTGGTTATATTCACCAGGTGTAGCATAGAATTTCCCATTAATTATTATTAATTGTTTATTTTTTCTCTTGCGCGTGAAGACCTCTTTTCCTTGTTTATGTACCCAGGGCCGGTTCTGAGGGGAGGCGAAGTAGGCGGTCGCCTAGGGCCCCCGATTTTTTTCTAAAATTTGGGGCCCCCAAATTATTTTATATACACTTTATATATTAGTAATTATTTTTAAAAATTTATTATATATAATATTTTTGAACATCGGTTCTAAAATAAATTTAAACTAAATGATCAATAGATATTTTTGAAATTTTCTTAACATTGGGGCCCCTAAATATTAATTTATAATGTCTTAATTACTTATTTTTATTCTAAAATAAGAATCAATATTTATTAGTGTATTCAAGTTTATAAATATTTTTGAAGTCTATTGCTATAAAAATTATACGTCACGGGAGGAAGTGAACCAGCAAATCATATTGTTAATTTTGAATTTTTGTCCATATTTTTAGTTACTTTATATTCATACATTTCAAAAAATATTTCGGGGGCACTGCCCCCGAACCCCCCACAATCTTTATTTTCTTCATTTTTTAGAAAAAAAATTATAAAATATTCTTTTTACCACATTCAATTTCGAACACCCATTAATAAAAAAAAATGGTTCATAAAATTGAGGCCCATGTTTTCAGTTGTTCTTTAAACCTCGCCTAGGGCCCCCGAATTCCCAGGAACGGGCCTGTATGTACCCAATGGCGAAATCTCGGATTATATTATGCTACATCGGGTGAAATACACTGGGTAGACCATTCATATACACACACACCAACATTTGTACCCAATGGCGAAATCTCGGATTATATTATGCTACACCGGGTGAAATACACTGGGTAGACCATTCATATACACACACCAACATTGGTGTGTGTAGATCAACGGTAAAAAATCACTCGGACCGGGTGTAGGATAGAAATAACCCGAAATCTCTCAATCAATTAAGACCCAAAACAACCCCCCTCCAATTTTGTTTTCCTAACAATTTTTTTTTCTTATGTATCAGTTAATGTACTTTCACCCCCAAACTTTCAATTTATACACTTTAGTCAGTAAAAATAAAAACAAATTCTCTTAATTCACTCCCATATTGTAGCCCTCAAGAAAAAACCCTGCGTCCGCCCATGATTAGACCCACCGACCTTGCAAACGTGATTTGGATGCACAGTTATTTTAATGAAAAAAGCTAACGGGCACGACTTAACCACAAGGGGTTGCCCATATGTTGATATTATGAGCACAAGGTGATTATCTGCAAAAACTTGTATCCACATGAGGATTAAGTGATATTTGCTCTTGTTTTTAACATTTTGAACCTTAGTACTTAATAGTTTTATCAATGTGGGTGTTCTTATTTTCCGAAAAAATTATGAAAGTTTTCGAAAAAATTTAAACCCTAAAACTATTTTTTTTCCGAATTTTTGAAATTCAAAAATTTCCATAACTTTTGGAATAGAAATGAATTTATAGATTCCGAAAATTTTGTATTGAGAATTGGTTCTGTACTTCCGAAAACAATTGGAAAAAAATTCTGAAAAAGTTGATTCCGATATGTTCCATCTATCTTTCACCCCAAATTGAAACTCATAACAATAAACTTGGAGACGGAGACATTAGATTAATTAATATACTAATTATGGCCATGAAAACTGACGATTGGTAGGGGGAGTTAGATGTTACACCTGGTTATTTACACCGCGTAGGACAAAATCGTAGATTTGATTAAATAACTACCCACTAAGCACACATGCACATAGACGTGTGTGTAATTAATTATGTGCAAATATACGATTCAAATCCACTCAGGGTAAATGATCAGATGTAATATCTAATTTCTTGACTTTCACGTCTGCTAACTCTTGAAACAACAAGACTTTACTACAAATAAGATCTTAAACAAATTAAACAAAAAGAAAGAAAGACCAAAGCAACTTAACCAGATAAACCTATCTGCATGTAATTAAGTTAAGAGAAGCATAAAAAATTAAATCAATTCTCCATATGTAAATACTTGCTAATTTATCGAATAGTGTAGGGACTCAAAGTATGGCAAATTAAAGGTTTCTCTCCATTTCAATGCAAAGCGAACACGGATAAGTTTACCTTGAACGTGCAGTTTCGCAATTCGGAAAAACGTGTCGGGCTCCATTCTTTTCGATTGTCGTCATAAATCTCCATGCTTACTTCTTCCAACTCTCGTTTCCATTCGTCTTTGTCTCCACTTTCTCTCTGCGTTAAAATCTTCCACAGATGCTCGATGAGTTTCATATCCCACTCCACCATATCGAAGTCGCAGATGTTTCTTGGACGACGAATACAAAACACCCCATTTAAAAGGGGTGAAAAGAGAGACAAATGACCGCATTTCAATTTCACTCTCTCCACCACAAGAGGTTTAGTACGAATTATGAATTGTTGCTCATGAACAATCCCGGGATAATATATATAATTAATGGCCAGACTACGAATACTAGATTGGCTTAATGATTTGAGTGTTCTTTTAGCTTGATGAACCACCAAGAAGAAGAAGCATCTGTCGAACGCACATATATATGTGAATCCCACTCGTTCAGAGTGGTCGCAAAAGAGATGGATGGGACAAAGTTTCCTCTATATTCAAAAGATTTTATTTTTGGGGCATCGATAAATAGCTCGATTACTTCGAATCCATCACAATAGTCGAGAATCAGACGTTTCAGACTTGGGAATTTACACGATGAAAAGTTGTCAGGCAACAAACTGACACCGCGCAGACGTAAATCGTCGAGAAAACAAAACTCCGCACCCTTGTGAAACAAAAGGTTACCGTATGTAATGAAGATGGTTTCAATAGATTGGTGACTTATTTCAAAGCTACAGCGTTCCGTATTTGCTACGCCTAAGTTAAAACCCGATGAATGAAAGTCCTTGAGACGACGAAGATTACCCACATTAATGTTTCTTGACCCCTCACAATTTTCAATACGCATCGTTTCAGTCGAAGGGCAGTTCGAGATTATCTTCTGAAAAACCTCTTCGTCCTCAATGTTGATTTCTTGGAGGTGAAGTGATCGTAGATTCTTCAACAGTACTATCCTTTCAACAGCCTTTCGGTCCAACTTGAATCTATACACAGACAAATTTTGGAGTACACAGTAATTGCAATCAAGTCCTTTGGTCATGATACAAAAGGGCTGAGGTGGTAGCGGCGGAAGAGGTGCGGTGGTGACGAATTTAGTCCAGGACATGTTCTTTGGAGAAATTGCAATCAAGTCCCTATACAAGTTTCAAAAAATTAGTATAAAATATAAATTGGCGGGATTTTTTTTTTTTTTTAAATTCCACTTTCCCCTCTTTATACTTTGGTTCGATATCATTTTACGCCCTTCTACTCTTAATTGCATCAATTTTCCCCGTGGCCCTCGCTGTTAGCTGTCAGACATTTGACCTAAGTCTTAATAACACTGTTGGATCTAAGTTCTGAAATTACAAAAACGCTACATCTCCCATTTTAAATAATTATTAAAAAATCCAAAAAAAAAAAGACAAACATAAAATAATTAAAAATGCAAGACAACGCGAAAACATAGTTCACAACACCAACCACAATTTATTTTTATTTTTTTTAAGGGGAAAATACGTTTGCACCCCTGAACTATAGGGCTTGTCACAAACACCTCTTAAACTACAAATCGTACCAAAATAGTCCCTATCATTTATGGTCAACGTTTAAAAAAATCACACCGTCAGTTTTTTTTTCTAAATTTACCATTTTGCCCTTTAAAATCGAACATTGTCAACCAACGCCACCCAACCTAACACCGTCAATCAACACCACCTTTTCTTTGTCCTTTTGTTTTAACCATCTCTCTCCTATTCAGTCTTCTTCATCGTGATAGGAGAAGCAATTCCAGTTATACTTTTCTAATTTCTTTGACATAAGGTAAATTAACACAAAATTCAAGACACCCAACATATTTCATATCCTATTTTATAAATTTACTTTATTTTTTGGCAAATTTACACAAAATTCAAGAACACCCACAACTCAACACTCTTGCTACCATGAAACCCCTATTTTTGGGCTGTGAAATAAGTGGATTTGTGCGGGGACCCGTCGGGCTACGGCGGTGTGAGGTGTGTGCTAATGTTTTTTTTGGCGGTCGCGATAGTGAAAAATTGGGTGGCACGATTCGCATAAGGGGCTGTGCGGAGATCCGACGGCGGACTACGGTGGCGTAGGTGTGTGCCAATGTATTTTAGGTGGTGATGATGTCTGGGTTGGGAGTGGTTTTTTAAGGTGAAAGACTAGTGCTGATCAGGGCCGGTCCGGCGTATTCAGGGGCCCGGGGCGAGAATATAATTGTTCGGTAGTTTTGCGGCAACAATCGGATTTTTTTTTCCGCATCTTAAGCTTAATGAAATAATATAAGGCAACGAATATATGCAAGACGAAAATTACTAAGTACAAGACCTTACTTCATGCAAGACCAAAATATAAATAAACTTACTAAGATCAAGACTGGAAATTACAAATATAACCCCAATATTAATTTAGATATTATTAATTCAAATTAGGTTAAGTGTTATTGCAAGACCAAAAAAAAAAAAAAAAAGGAATTAAAAAAAAAAAGGAAATAATGAGAAGGAACTCACTCCCCCAACAACACCCCAGTATGTTCTTCTTCACACTCTTATTTTCCACAAAAAAAATATTCCATATTCTCCAAAACCCTCAAATCTTACTGAAACTTGAAAAGAAGGACATTATGGATACACAAAACATAAATATGGAGGATTCTAAGGTCGAAGAACACAAAGGGGTAAGAAATATTGTATTTTGTGATCGTTTTTCTCGTTTTTCGCACCTCATTTCACGTACAAAAAATTCGACGTGTACAGGTCGAAATATGCTCCGAATATCGACACACTAGTGTCGAAAATTTCAACATAAATCGACACTCTTTTACTGTCGATTTTTATTGAATTTTTCGACATTCTGGTGTCGATATTCGGTGCATATTTCGACACTAATGTGTCGATATTCGGAGCATATTTCGACCTGTACACGTCGAATTTTTCGTACGTGAAATGAGGTGCGAAAAACGAGAAAAACGATCAACGGCGACGACTGCAACGGTGACGGGGGATATTTCTAGTGCTTGTCGACTGCAACGGCGACGGCGAGGTGGTGGACTGCAACGGCGACGGCGACGGCAAAGGGCGGCGGCAAGTAATGCAATTGATTTTTTTTGTTTTCTTCCCTTCTTCCCTCCTCCTCGTTTTTCAATTTTTGCTTTTTTTTTATTATTAATTTTTCTTTTTTAAAATGGTCTTGCAAAAGTAAATTAATAAAAGAATTTTTATTTTGCTGTATTTTATTAGGGTTATTATAGTCTTTTTATATTTAATTTGATAAAAAAAAATTAATTTGGTCTTGCCCTAAGTAAATTTCTGATTGCAACTAGTCGGTGCCATAATATAAATAAATTAATGTTTTAACAAAAACCTGATAAATAGAAGTCTGAAAATATGCATGTCTAAATAAAAAACTTGTGTAAAGCAAATTTTAGAATAAAAAAAATATTAAATTTCAAATCTATTTTTAAAATAAATTTATAAAAAAGAAAAAAGAATAAAAGAGAAAAATAATTTAAAAATAGAAGAATAATTTTGTTTTAACAATAAAACAATTTTTACACATAAAAATATATAATATATATTAAAAAATGAAAATGTTGGGCCCCCTTATGACATTGGGCCCTGGGCGTGGGCCCTGCTCGCCCCACCCCAGGGCCCACACCCAGGCCAAATTTCAATTTTACTAAATTTCTGAAACTTAAATTAGGGGACTAAATTGTAATTTTCCTAAACATAAAATCGAATTGGATTTAAATATAATTAATCCAAAACTTTGGATCAAATTGCAATTTTTAAATTTCTTAAATAAACAAAAAAAAAACATTTTTATGGAAAAAAAAAGAGTAAAACCCTAAAAAGAATAGGAAAACTTCATCCCTCAAGTTTGCATCGAATTCAGTCATTTCTGCAAATTTACGTTAGCACTAACAAATCAAGCGTGGGCCTGCGTGTGCATTTCACTGACTTAACTGATGGACTAACAGTAAATTGACAGAGATGACCAAATGTGTTAAATTATTGAAATATGTGGAACCAAATGTGTTTTTTTGAACTTGAGGGGCTATATAAAATCAGTGTAAACTTGAGGGGTGAAAACAGTAATTTTCCAAAATAGAATATTATAATGAACTCTGGTAGGAAAACGAAAAAGTAGAAAAGACGACTAATAAGAAGATAGAGTAAATTGCAAATACCACCCCTGTGTAATCCTTAATTGCTAAAAAAGTCCTTGTGTTATAAAAATTAGCAAAAACCCCCCTATGATTAAAAGTCAAAGGCGAAAAAGTCCATTAAAGCTGCTCGTGGTAATCACGCGCAGGTTGTGCGGTTCTTTTGAAAATTTTGGGGGTAAAATGACATAAACACCCTTTTATACATATAAATAAAAAATGTATGTTAAATTTGATGTAATTGTAAATAAATTAAATTCAAAGGACCAAATAGCAATTTTTAAAATCTTAAATCCTAATCATCTTCGTTCTCCCCATCACCCTCTCAAGTCTCAACGCCCCCACTTGGGAAAAAAAAAATCCAGCACCTAATTCTCTTCCCCAAAATTTCTGGAACTCAAAACAACACAGCCAACAACCACGGTCACTATCGCCGCCGAAGCCGCCCCTAATTCTCTCAAATCCTGTAGCTCTGTCGAAGCCGGCAGCCTCACGAAATAGTGGAGGAGAAGAGCAAGGTATCTGATGCCTCCAGATCCAAACCTCCCCATTGTTTTTCTGTTTTTTACCGTCTTCTCCGACGATGGTTTTAGAGTTTGCAAAAGAAGAAAAGGCTGTGGAACTGGTCGACGGCGCCGCCGCAGAGGAGGCAAGGGTCTGTGCAATGAATTTTGTGCGTAGTGTGTGTGTTTCAATCTAGGTTTAATAGTATTTTGAAAAATTACAATTCAGTCACCTAATTAAGTTTCAGAAATTTAGTAAAATTACAATTTGGCCTCTATTGTATATTAATTATAATTTTATGTTATTAATTAAAGGTTATATTTGTCTTTTCATCTCTGGTCAATGACTAAAATTTCAATAGGTGCGGTGAGCTAATAAAAAAATTATATAGGGGGGTTTTCGCTAATTTTTATAACACAAGGACTTTTTTAGTAATTAAGGATTACACAGGGGTAGTTTTTGCAATTTACTCAAGAAGATAACTAAAAACAAAATGTATGATAGGTTAAATAATACGATAATAAGCAGAACATTTAAGTGATTTCTCCCTAATACGATCGAAAGACTCACAAAGTTTGTCGATTTTCATGCCTAGTAACTCTTGAAACAACAAGACTTTTCCTATAAATTAAAAAAAAAAAAAAAAAAAAAAAAAGACCGAAGTAATTAAGTTAACAGATACTTAAACTATCATCAGAATAAAAAATTAAATCAATTCTCCATTTATAAATACTTGCTAATTTATCGAATCGTGGAGGGGCTCAAAGTCTGGCAAATTAAAGTTCTCTCTCCATTTCAATGCAAAGCGAGCACGGATAAGTTTCACTTGCACGCAGTATCGCAATTCTCCTCGCACTTCGGACAAATGTGTCGGGCTCCATTCTTTTCGATTGTCGTCATAAATCTCCATGCTTACTTCCTCCAACTCTCGTTTCCAAAACCGTCTGAACGGTTCGTCTTTGTCTCCGCTTTCTCTCTCCATGAAAATCTTCCACAGACACTCGATGACGTCCATATCCCATGCCACCATGTCGAAGTCGCAGATGTTTCTTGGACGAAAAATACGAAACACCCCATTTAAAAGAGGTGAAAATAGAGTCGAATTGTCGCATTTCAGTTTCACGCTCTCCACCACAACAGGCTTATCCAGAATAACGAATTGTGGTTCATGAACAATATTCCGGGGATGGTATATATAATAAATGGCCAGACTACGAATATTCGATTGGCTTAATGACTTAAGCAGTTCGTTTAGCTTGATGAACCACCAAGAAGAAGAAGCATCGGCCGAACGCACAAATATATGTGAATCCCACTCGTTCTGGGTGGTCACGAAAGTGATCGATGGGACAAAGTTTCCTTTGTATTCAAAAGATTTTATTTTTGGGGCATCGATAAATAGCTCGATTACTTCGAATCCATCACAATGGTCGAGAACCAGACGTTTGAGACTTGGGAATTTACATGATGACAAGTTGTCCGGCAACAATCTGACACCGTGCAGACGTAACACGTCGAGAAAACGAAACTCCACACCTTTGTGAAACAAGAGGTTACCGTATGTAATGAAGATGGTTTCAATAGATTGGTGACTTATTTCAAAGCTACAGCGTTCCGTATTTGCTACGCCTAAGTTAAAACCCGATGAGTGAAAGTCCTTGAGACGACGAAGATTATCCACATTAATGTTTCTTGACCCCTCGCAATTTTCAATACGCATCGTTTCAATCGAAGGGCAGTTCGAGATTATCTTCTGAAAAACCTCTTCGTCCTCGATGTTGATTTCTTGGAGGTGAAGTGATCGTAGATTATTCAAGAGTACTATCCTTTCAACAGCCTTTCGGTCCAACTTGAATCTTCGCACACGCAAATGTCGGAGCGATTCTTGCTCGAAGACTACACATGGCAGATCCAGATCAGTGTATCTTGGATAATGTTCCGAGCAAATAGAAAGACGAAACTCCTTCACACCCATATTTTTGAGTCTGGGGATCCATTTTTCGAGCAGCGAAACCGATTTTTGATACCAAAAATCGTCCAACCATATATGGAGGTGAAATTCTTCTAAGGACAACCTATGATCACAATATCGCTGTAAAGTATTTTCCACTAAGGATAGAAATTTTTGTTTCAAATCGTTCAAGTTGAACGGGCCTCTAAAATCAAGATTGGGGCGAGTACGCCAGATGTCACGCCATGATTTGGACAAGACAGATGTTCTGACAGCATCTTCTTGGGAGAGGAAATAAAGTATTCTCTGCAAGATGTCATTCGGCAACTCGGATATCCTGTCCATGGACTTGGAATCGTCTAAACTATCTGTTTTTTCCATGGCGAAAGCTTTTGAAAATTGTCAAATCTTAGGAGACGTGTATGATTTTTCAACCCAGTAAATCCTAAGAAACCTTGTGAGTTTTCAACTCAAGAAAACCTAAGAATCCTTGTTTATATAATTCCCCTAAAAATAAATTGTGGGCTGGGGCCGAATAGTCTCGTAATCTTTTCCTTGTGAATAAAAAAATAAAAAATTGGGCTTTTTTTTCCCTTTCGATTGGCCAGAATATTCCCCCAGGTGGTTATGTAGGTCAAAAAACCAGTTTGGGTGTGCGCGAGCAACTTTTTTTTAGTTAAGGTGCCAAAATGCAAAAACGGGCAAAGTACAGATGGCAAAATGCTATTAACCTTTTTTTTTTATTTTATTTAAAATTTAGAAAAGGGCAAATAGCATTTCACCCCCTTAAAAATTGCCACTTTAGCACTTCCCCCTAAAAATATGAAAAGGAGATACTCCCCTTTAAAATATACAATTTGTTGCAATTTGCCCCGGAAGTATATATCCAGTGAAATTCTCATCGGATTTGAGTAATTTAGAAAGGTAATATCGTCAATTTCAAAGTCAAGCGTGAACGGGCGTTAAGTCGTGCACACTTCTGGAGGTTGCTGATGTGTGGGGTGTCGGATCGGGTTTTAAGATCGACCCATCGTGCTTTGAGGTTCATCCACATGTCGACTTTAATTTCATCTCTTCGTAGATTATTGTGTAAATTTCAAGGTAGGTAGGCTTTCTTCAGTGGAGTGTAGCGGTGTGGGGGGTGGAGTCTCATGGGATTGGATTTGGCGCTGGAGATTCCGTGTGCTTTAATGGCTAGAAGTTCGATATTTGGGCAAATGGGAGGAAAGACTGTAGTGGCGGATTGGCGGTGGCTTCGACGTCCATGGTGGCGGCAGTAATTAGAATATTAGAATTTATCATATTAGTAGTTTTAGTTTTAATTTTTTTGCGAAAGTGGGTATTCTTATTTTTGAAAATTATGGAAATTTCCGAAATATTTTTAAAATGTTAAAACTTATGTGATTTCCAAAATTCTGAAATTTCCATAACTTTTAGAATTGGAATGGATTTCTAGATTACGAATATTTTGGAATTGAAATTAGTTTTGTACTTCTAAAACAAATAGAAAATTTTCCAGAAAGGTTAATTCCAATCTGATCTCTTACATCCGACTTTCAGCCCTACCCAATATGAAAGACATTTTGGAAGTTCAACATTATTTTAGGCACTTTGCCCCCTCCCAGAATTAAGATTTTGCACTTAAGCCCCTACAAACATAAAAAAAATAGCACATTGCCAAAGCCCAATATTATGTAGTACACATATTATATTAACTGTGTTGTGCTGATGAACAACAATTGATGTATCATATTCACAAGCATATATATATATATTATGTCATAAAAAACAATTGAGCCCCAAGCAAATCCAAAACCAGAGTAATTTTTCTCTGAGCTGACTATCAGCATTAACCAAATATATGATGATCCCCTATTTATTTCAGGCAATGAAATGAATGCCCAGCTGTTGAAGGGGTTTAATCGGAAAAAAGAAAGAATCATTCCAAATGCGAAATCACGAACCTTAGCCTACAATATCTCGGGCAAAAGATAGGCCAACAGGAAAAGAGCGGTGAATTCTCATTTTTGCAGCAGAAGCATCTTTTGCATCCACACATGAAAAACTTTTCTGTAATTTGCTTGGTTCGTCGCTTCCAACGATGAACTGAAGACCCTGGATAGTTATTTGTTCGTGTACATTGTCAACCGGAGAAGATGTAAAAAAATAGGGCAAATTGCACATCACCCCCTAAAAAATTCTAATTTTTAGCACTTTACCCCCTCAAAAATTTAAAAAATTGAATGTCCCCCTTCAGTATTCTTGTTGCACAATGCCCCAATAGCAAAATTTTGATGGATTATTCATCCGCATTTGAGTATTTTTGTTGTACGTTGCCCCTTTATCACGTTACCCCTTAAAAATATTATCTTTTTGCACATTGCCCCTTTAAAATGTTATTTTTGTCGCACAATGCTCACCAAAAATTGGCTTTTGGGGCAAAGTGCAACCAATATAATATTTTGAAGGGGGATAATCCAGTTTTTGAATTTTTAGGGGGGGAAATGCGAAAATGGGTAATTTGTAGGGGGTGAAGTGCATTTTGTCCTAAAAATATATATATAATAAATAAATAATTCAACGAACTTACCTTTGCACCCCCTCCTCCTGGAACTGCAGTTGACTTGCTGTCTATTAGCTTGGCTCCGACATCCTGTCACATTACACTAAACTCTTCATCAACCGAACAAAGACGAGTTATAAGAACGTACGAAAGCAGCTCATTTGGTATCTCCTTATTTGCATAAAATCAGCAAACAATAGTTTGGGTGAAATTAACAAACCGAAATTTTTAAAGTCAGTCACATGCAGACATAGCCACAGGTCGTTGAACCGGCAGCTGGTTTAGCTTTTTCTTATGTGAAATAAAATATTATGTGATTAATTTTCAAATATGATATTTGTAATTTTTAAAATTATTCTCTGAAATGCCATTAATAAACTTAAATGGCACATCTTCTTAGTTAATTCTAATATTCTTAGTTAATTCTAATATTGTCGCCAAATTAAGGGAACCCCAAATTAATTATCTCCTCTCGAGCAAATTTATCATCAAATTGCCGATTTTACAAGCATATTCCCACTAGAGTGTTTGGCAAACTACTGTTTCTTGGTTTAGTGAGAAAGTCGAATCCTAATTTATTACAATAGAATTTCATAATAAATCAGGATATGATAAAATTAGCTTCGACTAGAGTCAGAAAGTGAAGTGATAAACAATGGCACTAACTACTCAAGAGATTTCAAGAAAACGAAAAAAGGAGGCCGAGGCAAAATTTGACTAAGCAATTTCTTGGTAACGGGTGGAGGTTCCTAGGGCAGTGATTTAAACGTAAGCTGACATGCACCGAAAAATTCACATTTTCCACACAAAGTACGGAACCAGAATGTCAAGAATGATGTTAAAAAGAACAATGACCTGGATAATTTTCGAACTCTTATCGTCTTTAATATTTCCAGCCACTTGGCAGAGATACCACAGCCCTGAATTAGTCATATCCTGCATGCGATAATATACGTATGTAAAGAAAACCGCATATTGCTAGTAATTTTTTTTTATTAATTGAGATTTACAAACAGATAATCATGAACTTTACCTGCTTACTTTCAAGAAGCTCAATCTTTCCTTCCTGAAGTCAAATAATTTTGAAATGGTTTGACAGATAAGTCAGTAGGGTCTTAATTTACATTGAAAAGATTTGGATTTACGAAACTGTTATAACTTACCAAGCCAGATACCATCTCATGAATCAACCCGATGTCGAATCCTATTTGGTTAAGATTCGATTTCACTTCAGTAACCTGCATTATCAACAGATGTATTAGAAAGCATATCGTGCATTTAGAATGAGAAAAAAATGAAGAACCCAAGCTTCTTTGCACTAACGAACAAGGCATATATGTGATACTACTGTAATTTACGATGCTCGTGAAATCTTAAAAACAACCAACAAATGGTAAGCATGATCCAAGGAAACTATAGTATCTTTGATTGTAGTAAATATGTCGTTTCAAGGAAATGCAATGCTACTACTTACATCATTACAGATAAATTTCGATATTTCCCTCTGCTCGTCCAGTTTCCAATCCAGGTTTTCCAATTTCTTTGTTAAATGTCTCTTTGTCGACTGCAAACGATAGAAGCCGAAATGAATATCTAAGAAATAATACTTTTGGAGAAGTAACAACGGAAAAGAAAGGATTGAATACGTTTTTTTATTTACTTACAGCCAATGCTTCTGAAACATGGTCTAACTGCTTCGACACTGATGCAACAGCGGTTGCCATATTATTCTTGGTAACATACATAACATCCGAAAATGACCATCCCTGCAGAACCGAAAAAAGAACAAAATAAAGCAGAAATATTGATAATAAGAATTTCTTTTCTCCATGGACAATGATTCCCCTCAAACAAACAGGAAAAAGTCAAAAACAAGAGCTAATGATTTGGTCTATTAGAGTTTTTCATCATAACAATGATTTCCCTCAAAAAAACTGCAAATCTCGACCCACATTAGGGGGGGGGGGGGGAAGTTTTCTGATTTATTTGCCACATATTTGAGACAACATTTGAAAAAGTTTTCGGCCAAATGCTAGCTTCTGTAAACCATCTTGAGTTGTAATAGAAAAAAAAAGATATTTGAATAACGATAGCAAATGGAGTAGCTGCTATTTTTGGCAACAAGTCAATGATTCCATAATTAAAAGGTTAAATGGCTCAAGTGTGAACACTAACCTTCCACCGCATGTAACAGTATCCCGCCGCACCCACAGCTGCTGCAGGCAATATATATGAAGCATAACTTCCTGTTCAAACCAGATAAATTGTAAGACTCGTTGCCATATAATCCGTTTAAATAATGTTGAAGTTGATAAAAATGGGACCAGCCATAAAAATGTGACTTTGTTCTTTACCACGCTAATTCTATGGGATAATAAACCGAAAGGCTTCTAAAAGATAGGTCTTGTTTGCAGTTCGGATCCATAAGATTTCCGAAATTTCAGAGAACTGTGTGCTTAGGTTCTTTAAGGTTTGATCGCCTGATAAGATGATTTTGATAGACCCATGTACAACTGAAAAACGGAACCTCTGCAGACATTTTTGCTACTAAGTTGAAATTTTTATGGTCTTTGATATAGAAATTAAAAGCAGATACCCTGATTTATTAATTATAACATTATTATTTTTTGAAGAACTTTACTAAACCATTTCTTCAGTTAACACAAGAATAACCATCTTAATGAATATTTACATGGTTGCATACGAATAGACAGATGTATTTAGGACCAATTACGCTTTTCAAGAAGTCTCTTGAATTGCATACATTTGACCATCTGAGTGGAAGATTTTAATCATAAATTTTGAAAGTGCTTCAAATCCTAGCCAAAACGATGTTTCTAATGTCAGGTATAATACTCATCTGATGAACTTTACAGCAACAAAAGTCAAGGCATGCAACATTTATTATTTATCACATACCACTGGAGGATGAATTCCCATTAAAAATCGTAACGGGATTGGATAAACTCAACTCCTTGATCTCTTTAGCCAATTGCCGAACCTGAAAGAATGAAATTTACAGGGAAACAAAAGAAATCAGTGAATCCATGTACTTTTAGTCTTTGTGCCGCATAAAATGTAAAACGGGCAACAATTTAACTGAACTAGTGAAGCAGATATTCGATGCTGTTCCTACCTGAGCTGCTAGAAGAGCGGCATCATATTTCCCAGGTGATGTTTCAGCTTCATTTAATCTTTTTATCAAATCTTGAAGATGAGACAGCAAATCCGACAACTGTCCGCTCCTCAAAATGACAGATCCAGTTACACCTGCTCAGAACCAATAGAAACGGAACTCGTTGGTTTATTTTATGAAACTCGAAATACATCCAGACAAAGCATGCACCAGGTAAAGCATATGTTGTCAATTAAGGTACGACGTAATAGATGGTAATATGAGGATTGGGCTTTTATTATGAACTCAAGAGTCAATTTAAATCTTGAAAAACGATGATTCCATTACTTACTTTGCATCACCAACTAAACAATTAAAAATTGATTTTAAAGGAAAACTAAATACGAAACATTGCAAGATATCAAATTCTAAAAACACGATCATCCAGAGTTTTATCGAACTTCCCAATTACTTTCAAGCAGACGATTAACTAATAAGTAATCACATAGTTTACCTGCTCCTAATTTTTCAAAGTTCCTATACTTATCTACCCGCGAGCTTCTCTCGACTACAGATGAAAAGGGGATACAGTAATTGAATCTGAAATCGAATTTGAATTTTTATAGCACGATTTTCAATCCTTAAAAGGACTTCAAAAACATAATCAATCATCGCCATGTATAACAGATTAATCTATCAATTTCAACTTTCGAACACATCAGCTAAGTTCAATCCGATAACCTAATAAAAAAAATGGAACAGAAGCGATTCTGCCTATACAGATAAATTACAGGCGCACACGACCCACACACATATATACACATAGGAAGGAGGGAGGAGGGAGGGAGGAAGGGAGAACCTGCGCCGACGAGAATGAGGACCTTTGAGGCGGCGACGCCAGTCTGCATCGCCATGGTTGAGTTTTTACTTTACTGGAACGGTTCAACTTTCCTCTCTTGTAGAATAGTAACATGACTTGGATTTTTTTGGGGAAAAATGATCATTTAATAGAAAAGGGAAAAAAATATTATTCAAGGAAGCCAGAATATTTGACTTAATCTCACTTTGCACCCTTGAAATATAATATTTTGACACTTTGCACCCTTAAAATATAATATTTCGACATTTTACATCCTCAAAATGACAAAACACAATAAATAATGCATATGCACCCCAAATGAATTTTTAAAGCTAGTAAGGTTAATTTAATAATTTTAGTCGTGTTTTTTTTTTTTAACGCCAAATGTCAAATCAAATTTTTGTATACATCAATCATTTTGAAACTATAAATTGCAAAAATAAAAATACATTTCATCAATATATTTAAAAATTATATTTTTTATCAGAAAAATAATATTTTACGAGAAAAAAAATATCCTTCAGCTATTTCGTTATCAAGTAATTTGAAAATCATATTTTCTTACAAATTTGATATACCTATTATTTTCACAAATTACAATAAAAGATCCATCAATCGAGTAATTTAGTGATAAGAGTTTATTTTATTTTATTTTGTAAGAAAATATAGTTTTTTCAATAATTCGATGTGATTTTTTATTTTTTTTCATACTTGGAGGTTGAAGAAAATAACAACTTAATTTGTATTTTGCATCCTGGAAAAAAAGATAATTAAAAAAAATGAAATTACCTTTATTATTCAATTCATGGTACATTGTGAATGATTTATTGTATTTTGAGGGTGCAAAGTGCTATTCTTATTTTTTAAGGGTGCAAAGTGCCAAAAGACTCCATTTCAAGGGTGCAAAGTGGAATTAAGCCTGAATATTTAGGGGAAATTCATTTTAGTACAAAGACTTTGGCCGACTCATCAAATTAGCCCACCAGCTTCTAGAAATTATAAATTTGACCAACAATTTTTTTATTTAGTTAAAGGTATAAAAGACCATCAAGAAGAAGATGAATGAAAGAAGAAACTATAAATTATGTTGTTTAGTTAAGAAACTGTAGATTCTCCTCAGAACGGCTACAATCTTTTCAAGAAACAGAGCTTATGATTTTGATGCTACTAAAATATATAGCACGGAAACTTCAACTTTTTAATGTTTTCGCGTTTTGAACATGTTTTGTGTCGGACAGTCGAGGACACCGATCAGACATCTTATGAACCATTTTGTAATTTCTAAAAAGTTAAAAAATGTTTGAATAGCAAATTTTTTAAATGTTTTTTATATTTCCATAAATTTACGCGATTTAATGGTCAATTGCAAATTGATAGTTGATAGAGTAGTAAATTTATTTGAATATCTTTATATGAAAATATATATAAAAATAATTTTTATATAAATAAAAACTTATATATATTTATATATTATAAATATACCCCTATAATTTTAATATTTACATATCTTCCCAAATTTTCCGTATCCCCATTTTAGGGTTATGTGGTTTCCATTCATATTATGGTTTTGGCGTATCACCGTTTCCGTGTCTGTGTCACATAGTTACAATACATAGGATCATAGGTCATTTAAATTCATTATATACTTCCGAGACAAAAAAAATATAAATAAATAAAATCAATCGAACAGTGCATCAAATATTACACCTTACCATTTAACCATCCAAAAATCAACAAAAATAAAATAAAATAAAATAATATCAATAATAATAAACACAGACAACACCACCATCACATTCCATTTCATAAAAGTGTACACATTCCACTAATCAATACAATGCAACAGAGGATGCAACATTTTTTTTCAACCACTACTACCTCCTCCTCCACCACCACCACCACCACCGCCGCCGCCGCCACCACCAAGCTCCCTCAACATCGCCACCACCTGCAACATACTAGGCCGTTTCGACGGGAAATCGTCGACACACTGCAACGTAATCTCCAAGTACCTCACCATCTCCTTCACCTCCTCCACCTCATCCACATCACTACCAACACCCTTCCTCACCTCAACCAACTCCACATCAATTACCTCCATACCCCTCCCTTCCCTCACCTTACCCTTCACCCACCCCACCAAATTCGTGTCCCCGAAATCCTCCTTATCCGTCGGCCTCTTCCCCGTCACAAGCTCCAATAGTATCACTCCGAACGAATAAACATCCCCTTTCGCCGTACATCTAAAGCTCTGGTAATACTCCGGGGGTACATACCCCGGAGTGCCAGCCAACGTGCTGACACTCAGATGAGTGTCGAGCGCGCTGATAAGCCTCGCCATTCCGAAATCCGACACCCTTGCCTCCATTTCGTTATCGAGCAATACATTGCTCGATTTCATGTCTCGATGGATAATGTGAGGGATGCAATTGTGGTGGAGGAAGCATAGCCCTTTGGCCGCACCCCTAGCTATCTTCTTCCTCTCCTCCCAACTCAAGATTCGTCTGTCTTTACCCCTTTGTCTACCGTGAAGCATTTCTTCTAAGCTCCCGTATTCCATGAACTCGTAAACCAGAAGCCTCTCCTCGCCGATTTTGCAGTACCCTAATAAAGGGACGAGGTTCTTGTGCTTGATCTTGCCAAGTGTCTCCATCTCGGCCATGAACTCGCGGTCGCCCTGACAGCTCAGACGAATGAGTTTCTTGATCGCCACGGAGGATCCGTCCCTCAGTGTGGCCTTGAAGACCTCGCCGAACCCACCCGAGCCGATCATGCTGGCGGCGGAGAAGCCGTTTGTCGCCTCGATCAATTGAGAGAACTTCAACTTCCTTAGTTGCCGTTGGAAAGTGGCTACGTTGATGCTCAGTGGCTCCTTCTCCTTCTCAATTTTCCATGTCGTGGCGGCTTGTGACGCTTTTAAGCTGCTGAGCATTTTGGCCCCCTCGGCTTCTCGTCTTCGTGCGCGCATTGCTATGGCCCACACGATTAGAATGCAGACCGAAGCTACGGAGATGAGTATGCCCATTACTATACTATTAGCCCACGAAGCTGCGGAGGCAGCTTTCTGGACTTGTTTATCGCCAGACGAGCTTTGTTGGTTGTCGTTGTACTGGCACTCCGCCAACGGAACACCACATAGACCCGGGTTATTGGCGAACTGAGTCGCCGGGAGCGTGCTGAGCTGTCCTCTCGACGGAATCTCGCCGGTGAGTTCGTTGTACGAGAGATCGATCTGAACAAGGAACGACAGCATGGAGAAAGAATCCGGGATGTGCGCCTGTAGTCTGTTGTGGGATGCGTCGAAAACGCCGAGGTTTTTAAGCTGTCCTAAAGCCGCCGGAATCTCGCCGGAGAGCTGGTTGTGGGAGAGGACAAGTACTTGCAGGGCAATCATCTCGCCGAAACCGTCGGGGATTTTGCCGCGGAGCTGATTGTAGGAGAGGTCGAGGTACTCTAGGGTTTGGTACCGGGTGAAGAGGCTGAGAACCGGGCCGGAGTACATCCGGGTGAAGTCGCAGCTCCGCAGCGACGGCACCTGTAGCAGCCTCTCCGGCCGAATTCCGGCGAACTCGAGCAACCCGCCGACGCCCCTGCACGAGTTCCCTACGTTCCGGACGAACACCAGCGTGTTGCCGGAGAGGATTCCGGTCAGCGCCTTCGCTCCGATCTGCCGCCCCAGCCGCGGCGGGATCTCGCCGCTGAGTTGGTTGCTGTTTATGTCCAGCCAAACCAAGCTGGTGCAGCCGGCCAACTCCTTCGGAATCTCCCCGCTCAAGGTATTGTTCCCTAGTTGCAGAACCGCCAACCTCGTCAGCAACCCGAATTCCGCCGGAATCTCGCCGCCGATCCGGTTGCTGGTGAGCGAAATCCACTCTATGTTCCCACAATTGAAAAGCTCCGTCGGGATTCCACCGCTCAAATGGTTGTTGTTCAGTATCAGATTTTTCAGTTTCTTGCACTTCCCCAACTCCGCCGGAATATTCCCTTCCAGCCCATTGTACCACGCTATTAGCTGTTCAAGATTCCCAAGATTCCCAAGCTCAACCGGAATCGAACCGTTGAGATAATTAATGCTGAAATCGATAATCCTCATCTCCGAACAGAGAGATAACTGAGGCGGGATTTGTCCGGAAAGAGCGTTATCCGGTGCTCTCAGCTCTTCGAGCAACACCGCCCCGGGACATATATCCGGTGGAATATTCCCCGAAAGCATATTAGAACTAAAATCGACTACCTTCAATTTCTTGCAGAACGAAATCGAAGACGGAAGCCCACCCGAAATCCGATTGCTGCTTAGTAGAAGCTTCTCCAAAGACGATAAGCTCGAGAGAATCGAATCAGGAAAAGGGCCCGTTAAATTATTGCTCGACAAATCAAGAATTTGGAGCCAAGAACACGAAGAAAACGAAACGGGAATCGTGCCCGTAATGTTGTTTTTCGATAATTTGAGTTCCACAAGTGAGCCACACACATTGCCCAATTCGGAGGGGATCCAACCGGTGAGATGGTTTTGAGAAAGATCCAATCTTTGCAAGCTTTTAAGTTCACCGAAAGCCACCGGAATTTCGCCGGAGAGAGAATTCTCCGGCATAATTAATTCGTTGAGGCTCGTGCAGTTTGAGAAAGACGGTGGTAAAGATCCAGTGATTTGATTCCCCGACCAATCGAGTCGCGACAAAGAACTGCACTTTTCGATTCTTAAATCCGATATCGAACCGGTTATATTGTTGTAAGAGAGATCGAGATACTTCAACTTATCGATGTTGAGAAAAAGATTCTCCAGTAAAAAACCGGTTATGTTGTTGAACGCAAGATTGACGTATTCGAGATTTGGGCAATTGGAGAATAAATTCTCCGGAATTTGACCTAAAAGACCCGAGAAAGAGAGCTCGAGTTGCTGTATGCTATAAGGGATTTGGAGTAAAGAAGTGGTGGCGTTTATAGTGAACGAATTTGCGGAGAGATTTAGGGAGTTTAGCATGTCCATTGAAGAAAAGGGTGCGAAAGAGATTGAATGGGAGACGAGATTTGATTGGGCAAGATCGACGGATGATACTCTTCTAATGTTGGTGGCGGTGGTGGTGGTGCAGGTGATGCCGTGCCACGTGCATGGATCTTTGTCCGGCCGCCAGTCGGATAAGGCTCCGTTTGGATCGTTTTGGATCATTTTCTTGAATGATAGAAGGGCGTACGCGTCGGTTTTTATGGAATTTTTTCCCTGTTCGATGGAGAAAACGTGATCGAGAGAGGTTGTTGATAGTAATATTAGAGTAATATGGAGAAGTGCCATCTTTATCTCCATTGCAGGAGAAGAGAGAAGATGAACTCAAGGAAGGATTTGTTTGTGTGTGTTGTGTGTGTAAAAAGATGGAAGGAAAGAGAAAGTAAGGGGAGAGAGAGAGAGAGTGGTGAAAATGATGAGAATTTTGCTTTTGTGCAAAGGAGAGTGAGAGTGTGAGCTTTAGGAAGAAAAGTTTTGTTCCTAGAGAGATTGCAATATATGTTTGTATATTGAGAAAAAGGAGGGAAAGTGGGATGGTGGAATGAATGGGAATATTTAAAGTTTGGGGGGTTAAAAGTGAAAGAAAATAATAAATTACATCTCGCTTGAATCTTTCTCCAATTTTTCACTTGTGCGTTTAAAAGTTGAAAGTAGTGTTTTTAAATTTAACTGTAAAAGGTACTTCGTGTAATCTCCAAATATCAAAAAATCCCTGTAATAAATAAACTATCAAAAGTCCCCTATGAAATTTAGTCAAAGGCAGAAACCCTCTTGGTTAACTTTCGTGTGACTCACTCGCCGGATGCACGACTGGTAGTTGTTTTTTGAACGTGAAATGACAAAATTGACTCTCACAATGTATTTATATGTTCTTTTTAATTTGATTGTTCAAGAATTTAAAATATTTTTAAAAAATAATAAACAATTAAATTGAAAAAATATTAAAAATTTGTTAATCAAATTAAGCATAGGTTTTTTTAAGTACAACATAAAAAAATACGTAATAATGGAATTTAAGTTTTGTTTTAATGTAGGGATGATTTAAAATATATACATAAATTATCTGATAACAAAAATAGAATAATAACTAAGATATAAATAAAATAAAATAAAATAATTAAAATGTTTAAAAAATATAAGAATTTATTTTGTAAAATCCGGGGGTACTTGTGTTTTTTTATATCAAGTCAACACTCAAATGAATAATGGGCTGAATATGCTATATAAATAATTGCATAGGGGGGTTTTGCTAGTTTATTTATCACAGAGAGGTTTTTGCTATTTGAAGATTGCACAGGGGTATTTTTTACAGTTTACTCTTAATGAATAATTATTTCTTCATAATCACATAATAAAATTCGAAAATGAGGGGATCCAAAAATATTAAAAATTCATCCTTGATCTCATCTTAATAGACTTGGAGAGTGTTTGGCTAAGCGTATTAGCTGTTAAAGGGAATTTATAAGATATTTAAGAGCTTATAAGCTTTTCCAAAATCTTTTTTTTTTTTTTTAAAT